GGGGGGATTTCTCACTTTCTGTCTCTCTATCTCTCTCTGTCTTTCTGGCAAGCACACTGCCCTATAGCAAAAACTTCACTAAAAAAGAAAAGCTAGGTAGAGAAGGTGAAGCCTGAAAACGGATGGTAGATTGTAAACATTTGAAATACTATTTTTTAAGAATTATTTTATTTAACTTTATTTATTTTTAATTTGACCAGAGAGGGACAGAGAGAGAAAAAACAAGCCACCAAGTCTGGGATTTAAACTTCAGTCGGCCATGTGGGAGTTCTGCGCCCTTAACCACCATGCAACCAGCCAACTCTAAAATACTGTTGATACTTGAAATATTATTTAGCTATGCCCACAAGCCAAAAAATGCAAGTAGAAGCCAGAGGCAGTCTGCAGTGGCCAGTGGTGAAACAGGTGCTCTGTGAGGCTACACACACGGAAGGATTCCAGAGGGACACCAGCCCTCCCTAAGACCGTCCTGCTGACTAGGAGTGGAGCAGTGTTGGGACCTTGCTGGGGATGCTCTCTCACAGGTTAAAATAAAGAGGTATTCTGCAATACATGCTACCATGTAACGTGTCTCTTTAATCAGATTTGTTCGTTAAAAATTGCTTTAAATTACAAAACTGCATATACAGTGTGACCCCATTTCGAAATTTTATTTCAAAATAGAAAAGGTCTGAATAAATAGGATCTGGAGACTGTGTACTTTTCTTCACTTCCTCAAGCTAAAATAATTCGGGTCTTTTAGGCAGTAAGTTATTTAAAGTTGTTTAAATCTAATAAAACTACACCACGCTCTACCAAGTAATTCCTCCCGGCCAGTAACCTCTAGGAAACCGACCAGGATCCACTTCCGGAAGGGGGCAGCGTGCGCTTCGAACCGGAAGTAAATTGCGAAGGAGTGCAGCATTCTGGGAAGACTACAGAGGCGGGAATTGGAGTTGCTTGCTGTTGCCAGGCAACCGGAAGCGCTTGACAGATACCTGCGGTTTGGGGCGTTGGCGGGAGCTGCAGAGGTGCTCGGGGGTCTTTCGGGATGAGCGCCAGGGTCAAGGGCGCCCTCCCAGGGTCGCCCTCCCAGGGTCCCCCGTCAGGCCTGTGCGGTCGTGCCCCGCGGCGGGCGCGCTGGACCAGGGTCCCCTCTTGTTCCCTGAGTCCTGAGGCGAGACGAAGTGTGGCCAGAGGCTCCTGTCTCCACTCTAGTTTTCTGCTTCCTTTTAGAAAATGTAAGTTGTGGCTTTCTCGTTTATATAGTAATGTGTTCTAATGTGAAAGTAAATTACTCTAGTTTTATAATTGTAAAAAAAAAATGTTAAAAGATAGTAAAACTCACTAATCATCAGCTACCCAGAGTAACTTTAACGTTTCATATATTAGCTGTCCATTTGTGGGATTTTTTTCTCTGCATATTGTTACTTTTTACATTGTTGAATTGATGTGGGGAAAACTTTTTTGTTTTTTGCTTTTTCATATATTCTGATGTTAAAATCTTAGCAACAAAGAAGGCATTGAAGACGTTTTCTGTGAGTTGTAAAGGCAGAGATGAGTGGACACAGCATGTGAAGATCGTTATTTCAAGAAGTTTGGTTGTAAAGGAAAAAAGAGGTCAGTAGCTAGAGAAGAGTGGCAAGTGAAATAAATTGAGAATTTTCTTTGAGGAGAAGAAACTTGATGTTTATTAGTACAAGAAGAAAAAAAAAGGTAGAGGTTTTTTTTTTTTAAGGTAGAGTATTTAAAAAAAAAAGTAGAGTTTTTTTTTTTAAAAAAAAAATAGGTTAAAGGAAGAAGATAACTTCACTGATTGAGAAATTGGAGGAAATGGAATCCATAGATTAGTTACATAAATTAACTTAGATTGGAGATGGAACTGGGAAACAGAACATCAAAGTTGACATGGATGTAGTAACCACTAAAGAACAATTACCCTTGGCAAAAGTGACAAAAATATGTCAAAAGATGTATATATAATGGCAATAAATAGGTATATTCAGCTATAGTAGTAATAAGTATAAGTGACATATTAAAAGCCTGTCAAATTGGAAAAGATTTAAAAAGAAAGTAATAATGTGCAATGCATAAGGATTCAGTAGGAAGAGAAATTGGTACATTTGCCATCCCTACCCCGAGGCCTTTCATAATTTTATATCAATATAAATAGAATATACATGCTCTGACTGAAACACATACTTCTAGGAAGTTGTCAAAAGGAAATAAACAAAACTGAACATATATATTGAGTTAGATGGAGTGCATTACAGCGTTGTCCACTACCTCAAAATATGTTAAATATGTTACAACCACACTTTTCAAACATAGATAATGTTGTTTCAGATAAAAGAAGTTCAGGGAATTTAACATGGGACTAGTTTGGGGACTTCATCACCAAGATGAGAAAGGTCTAAGGGTACATAATACAATTCTGTTAAACAGTAAGTGTATGAATGTCATCAGGTAATGTAAGTTTTTAGATCTCAATTTCTCTCTCTTTTAAAGGGTAGAGAGGAGGAAGGAGACTGTTAATCAAGATGATCTCTTTTTTTTTTTTTTTTTTGAGAGGTTTTTCCTATAGGGTGTGTGTGCTTGCCAGAGAGACAGAAAGCGAGAAATCACCCCCCAGCAGGGATGGCTTGGCTGCAGTCCCTTCTCCTTCATTCTCCTCTCAGGATCTGGGGCACGCACCCACACATGCCCGGCATGAGTTTCAAGCCACCGGGTCCGGGATGCGAACCGCGGTCGACTATGGGTCCCGATGATCTCTTAATATATCTTCCAGTACTGACATTTCATAGGCCAGAGACTGCAAAGAAAAACTTGAAATGTAAAAAAGAATTTTTTTTAAAAAAGGAGGGAGGTCAGTAAGTGGCATAGTGAACTCCCACATGACCAACTGAGGTTCGAGTCCTAGACCTGGTGGCTTTCTCTCTCTCTCTCTCTCTCTCTCTCTCTCTCTCTCTCTCTCTTTTCAGCATGTGTGTCCTCTAGCAAAGTAAACAATAATAATGATAATAAAATTGATTAACTTAACAAAAAAAAGAAAAGAAGGATCAGTCAGCATTGTCAAACACTAAAGAAACAGGGACCAGCAGTTACTGTAATGGCTCTGTTGCTGGACTCCCACGTAGTCGACCGCGGTTTGCGTTCCAGACCTGGTGGCTTAAAACTCACGCCGGGCGCGTGTGCGTGCGTGCCCAAGATTCCAAGAGGAGAATGGAGGAGAAGGGATCGCGGTGTGGCCATCCCCCCTCGGGGGTAACTTCTCACTTTCTGTCTCTCTGTCTCTCTCTGGTGAGTGCACGTGCCTATAGCAAAAAATAAATAAAATAAAAAGATTATTCAAAAAAAGAAAACACTAAAGAGACAGAAATCCATCAAGGAGTATCTATGGCTTTTGAATTTGATGATTAAGGAAATCACTGATGAATTTAAACAATTTCTTTATAGTTGACCAATGAATGTAAGGAGAGGAGTCTAAAAAGGCAGGATTGAGAGATTTGTTGATTTGTTTAGGGAGGTAGAGTGGAATTCTTAAGAGCAGAGGGAAAACCTAAAAAAGAGATTAAGTTGCAAAACCATTACGTTTTTGAAACAGGATTTTGAAGAAACTAATGAGATGGAGAAGTGAGGGACCAGCAGATGGCCTAATAGTTATATCCCTGAACACCCATGTACTCAACTGTGGTTTGAGTCCTGGACCCAGCAGCTTAAAACTCATGCTAGGTGCATGTGCATGCTTGCCCAAGATCCCAAAAGGAGAATGGAGGAGAAGAGGTTGCAGCGTGACCATTCATCATTAGGGGTGACTTCTCACTTTCTGTCTCTCTGTGTCTCTCTAGCAAGAACATGCACCCTATAGCAAAAATCTATTTTAAAAAAAAAGAAACAAACAAATTAAGGAACAAGGGCCAGCGGATGATCTGGTGATTAAAATGCTGGACTCCTGCATGGCCGAATGCAGTTAAGTTCTGGACCTGGTGACTTGCTTTCTCACTTTCCCCTTCTTGCTCTCTCTCTGGCCAAATTTTAAAGTAATAATAATGAATAAAATTAAAGAAATAATTCTTTTAAAAAATAAATGAGGAAATAGTCATTTTTCAAGAATCAGTATTTTAATTATAACAAATATTGTTCAGTAATAAAGATCATATTTTTTAATCTCACAATGTATTTTTCATGCTGAGACCAGCAGATGGTGTAATGGTTATGTCGCTGAACACCCACATAGTCGACCACGGCTCAAGTCTTGGACCCGGCAATTTAAAACTCACGCCAGGTTTGTGTGTGCCCAAAATCCTGAGAGGAGAATAGAGAAGGGATTGCAGCATGGCCATCCCCCCTGGGGGGTGATTTCTCGCTTTCTATCTCTCTGTCTCTGTCTTTCTGGCGAGTGCACACGCCCTATAGCAAAAACCTTTCCAAAAAAAAAAAGGAGCTGATTCCCAACTTTCCACACTGACCCCACTCCTACCTATGACCTAGTCCATGTGGGAGTTCAGCACCTTAACCACCACACCACCTACTGGCCCACTAAATCATTCTCTTTTTTTGTTGTTACTTAGTTTTTATTTCATAATCATAAACTTAACTTTGCAATTCAGCTAGATTTGGAGGGGAATAGGAAAATATGGAACCCAAAGAACTGCAGCGAGAGCACAGGTTACAGGACATAGCAAGCAGATGGGGTGGAGGAGAGCTCTCCTGAGCTACAGAAGGAAAGGTCTGGTGGTTAAGAGAAAACAAGTCAAATTCATTAGAGTTGTCCACAGTCAGCAATGGTGATTTTCTTGCTAGTCTTGCCATTCTTGGACCCAAAGCACTCCATGGCTTTCACGATATTCATGCCCTCTTTCACCTTGCCAAAGACCACATGCTTGCCATCCAACCACTCAGTCTTGGCAGTACAGATGAAAAACTGAGAACCATTTGTGTTGGGTCCTTCATTTGCCATGGACAAGATGCCAAGACCTGTATGTTTCAAGACAAAGTTCTCATCTTCAAATTTCTCACCATAGATGAACTTGCCGCCAGTACCATTACAGCATGTGAAGTGGCCACCCTGGTACATAAACCCTGGAATAATTCTGTGAAAGCAGGAACCCTTCTAACCAAATCGTTTCTCTCCAGTGATCAAAGCACTAAAGTTTTCTGCTATCTTTAAAACTTTGTCTGCAAACAGCTCGAAAGAGACGTGTCCCAAGGGCTCGCTGTCAACAGCGATGTCGAAGAACATGGTAGGGTTGACCATGATTGAGGGCGAGACACTCGGGGTGCGGCATCTGCAAAGCGGGGCGCCCACTAAATCATTCTTAAAAAAAAAATTTAAAAGTTCAAAATGAAGAAATAGGGACCAGCAGTTAGCGTAATGGCTATGTCACTGGACTCCCATGTAGTCGACCACGGTTCGCGTCCCAAACCCAGTGGCTTAAAACTTACGTGTGGCATGTGTGCGTGCGTGCCCAAGATCCCGAGAGGAGAATGGAGGATAAGATATTGTGGCATGGCCATCCCCCCTGGTGGAGGGTGATTTCTCGCTTTCTGTCTCTCTCTCTCTGTGTCTGGCGCGCGTATGCGCCCTATGGCAGAAACCTCTCCAAAAAAAAAGAAGAAATAGAAAATTGACGCTTATGATCAAGTTAAAAACCCACGTAAGGCCAAAAGGATAACTTTATATGAAAAAATAAATTATTTATAAGAGTTTTCCAATATTAAAATTATTTCTATATATAGGTATGTGTATATACACATAGTTTTTTATATTGAGAGTGTGGAGAGAAAGAGACACTCCAGACAGGATCTCACCATGCTGCAATCCTCATACCCCATCCTTCCAGTTAGCCAGAATTACAGGCATGTAGCACATCGCCAAGCCTGTGTAGGTGAGTCTGAGCACCAAACCCAGGCCTCCACTGCCTATGCCACCATAGCTAAAAAATACTAAAAATTGTATTTTTAGTGGCAAAAGTAAAAATGAACAGATGTAAGTTAAAGACTTATCGTGTACACAGAAGGTCAAACAAAGTCTCTTTAGTTCAACCTGCTAAAATTTAAACCTGCTAAATCATCACCTTTGAAGTTTCATTTTTTCCTCCCATCATACATTATTACCAACGGTGTCACTATGTGTATGATCAAAGAGCAAGTGACAATTATTCCTCTACATAATAAAGTACTTTGTCCTCTGAAGCTATCTGCACATATATGTATATATCTATGTATATACACACATAAT